TTTTCGCTAAGACAAATATTGATATTTTCAAAAGGTGTTACATGCGAAAATGTGAGCCAACTGGCTCATTCTTCAATTGTTTCTTGCATCCTGTTGTGTATTTAATCAATATTAGAGTCAATTTTACCGACTACACAACACGTTTTTATTATTATCACACTACATGTTTCGACCTCAAGAGGTCATCCTCAGGTGTACGAACAACTGTATAATTACACGCAGTCACATTCGTTTTTCCCACTTATTCGACCCTGTATCTTATTCAGGCTTACGCTCAATGATATATCAAGCTCTTCTTATAGAACACAAGTTAAAATATTATTCTAAATGTTAAAAGTTAAAATTTTAAATTTAAAAATTTTTAAATTTCGTGAATCGAAGTTCGATTCTTTATAAATTTTCGTTGTGAATTCCCCCAAACCCCAGTATTTGGAGGTGTTTCAGACTACCAAGAAGAATTAATAGTGCATCTCGCTTCGCAACGAAGGTCGTGTAGTCTATGTAAGTCCTACAGAGGGAGTGACAATCTGCAAAAAATGTTACATATTATCACTAATTAGAATCTTTGTATGAAATTCGGCACGCCAAGCCTTCGGAAATGCTTCACACAGCACGGCTCGCTAACAAGGCTAGGTACTTGACAGAAGTGTTGCAGAGGAAGTGAAATGATGCAGGCAAATGACGTGCCTTATGAATACCAATGTGCACGCAGCAATGCGCATGCGATATAATACTGAACGGGCTACATGCATATCCAACATGACGGTCCGGCAAAATTACAACAATGCATTCTTTGAGATTTTGGTGCGTTTATCAGTCTTAACAATGAATTTGGCTACCAGATAGCAGTATCTATCGCTGACAAACCTAAAGCTGTCCCTGTAACAGGCCATGAAGGCCCAAAGGGTTGTGAGGCGTCAAGTCTCCCACATTTTCTCTATACAATCGGCTCAGCCTTACCCGTCAGCCGCCCTTTAGCCCCCAGGAAGATTCCTGGTACTCATTTCTGGGCCATAGTACGGCTGGAAGGATTAGTTAAATTAAAAAAAAAAAATCAACCTCATCGGACCTGGAACCCTCGACCTTTCATCTTGTAGCGTACTGCCTCAACCAACTATGCTACCGCGTGCCTAACCAACATAATAAATACTTCAGCTCTAAAGGACACTGGCGGTGGTATGTTCAGTATAACAGAGTTTCTGGACTTCGTCCATTGTTTACGTCCTGAAAATATGACTGGACCAATGATTTGTATTAGCTCCTTCCAATGCCCCCTGCTGAGAAGGTGCCTCCCACTCATTCACCTGTGGACGGAAACAGATTGCGCTCCCGAAACTGTATGCCCTTTCAGAGCATGAGACGATTGACAAAGTCCGTACACTCCATTATACGAAATTATAAGTGTTATACAGTACTTTAAACGGGGCAGAATATTGTGATAGAATTATTTTTTTCCCGATATACACTTTCTTTATTAGAATAAAATGTAAATTACCACCTAAGAATATCTACTTTATTTCCTATTTATGTCTATTAAAAACTCAGGCTTGATTTGGTATTACAAGGTCATCTTCAGGGAGGGATTTTTAAAACATCGAGAAATAAATTTCTTATAAAAGGCTAACACTAACATTATGTTCCAATTCCATAGTTATATGCCGTAGTTATTGTAAATCGGTTGCGGTGTGTCGTGTTATGTTGTTATGTTGTACGTTGCTGCCTCACACTAATTTCTTATGTGCCGAAAAGGCAGAGAACTGCATTTCGTTGTTCGATGAAATACTGAAGAACATTATTCTGTGTACGTGTAAGTCTACTTCGTTACATGAATACAACATCCACAAATACTGTTAAACATCAACTGTTTGTTGTTTTATTGTGTTGTGACGGATTTTAATAAAGAAATTTAAATATCCACAAACGTTTGGGATGGTGTTGGGGGAAAAAGAAGGAAACAGAGAGACAATAACATAAAGGAAAGAGACGAAGAACATAGAAAAAATGGAAGAACTAGAGAAAAAAATATGCAAGTTCACTCAAGCGACAATGACTCTAATTTGTAATTGGGAGGTTCTCGGTTTGGATCCCGGCCGAAACATCGACCATTCTGACTAACAATTTCTGGAGATCTTCTGAGTCACTCCACGCAAATGCTGGGATAGTACCTCCATTATGCCGCGTCCTTCCACATAATATCCAATTCATTATGCATGAATCATCACTACACAGGACAAGTTAGAGATACGGAGAGCGTGGCTAAGTAAACCACGAAAATATGAGTGAAAGAACGAAGCATCATCTTACAGACAATCCTAAGTGATTTGTTTGTGCTGTTGCAGAGAGTCGAATGGCACGGGAAGACGCTGAAGAACGGCCAGCAGGCGAGGCGTTGTAGAAGCGATCATGGTCTCTTCTGAGGGTCTTGGCATTCACACAGGTAGGGTAAAGGTAAAGTTTCCTCTGTGCTTAACTGATTAAGCACTACGCCATGAAGGCGTATGTGGGAGTGGATGTATAGACCCACGTCTTCTTGACCTCGGCATTAGTTGGTGGGTAGTCAACATTACGACTGACCGCTTTACTCCCGGTGAAAGAGCCCCCGATATCGAATGGATAGGAGGTTGGGTGGGGCCCAGAGCCAGTCTGTGCGACATGGAAAAGTGAAAATTCTTGCCCCCACCGGGACTCGAAATTCACATGGGTAGACTTCGGAAAACCGTGATAGATTTTTGTCAGACAGCGAAAACCTGGTCGAGATCCAGTAAGTACCCTCTTGATATTAGCTGGTAGGAAAGAATCTATGTGGAAGCACTGACCCGGCCTCTACAGAATGAGATGTGCAAGTCCCATTTAAGACTGACACGGTTTGAAAAATTAACTGGCATCTAACGAGTCTGTTTCGTTGGAGAGCAGAGACTGACACGTGACAAATTGAAACACATTTTCCTGGTCATCGTCCAATGACATTTTGCTTCTGGGGAGTTTGTAGGGTCTCAGAAGAAGAATGGTTCTTGTGCACCCAGAAGCTCAGAGGATGGCCGAAGGGCAATTAGTTTCTTCATTGCCGATGTCGTAAGGAATGCCGTGGTATAATGGGTACGCCTTCTACTTCGTATTGAGGAAGTAACAGATTGAATATCGACACGAAGTGACAGACTTTTCTGGTTTCTCTCAATTCGTCCAGAAAAAAAGGAGTGGTACATTAAACAAATAGCAACCGGTTCCTACAACATCCTTCCAGATCCATTCTCCCATTCGAAGCTACCTACACTGACTTATGCTGTTGAGAAACGGTCGTTTGTTGATATAAGAACTACTCGTACATTCGTAAACTTAAGTTAAAGTTACTTTTCACAGAGATAAACAACGCTTCGAGGACCGCCTCTGTGGTCAAGTGGTCAGAATTCCTGCCTATAGATCCAGAGGTCCCGGGTTCGATTCCCGGCGCTACCAGATTTTTCTGAGAACGGGGTCCACTCAGCCTCGTGAGGATAATTGAGGCGCTATTTCAAGGAAATAGCGGCTCCGGTCTAGAAAACCGAGATTTACATCCGTGGGGATCCATTGCGCTGACCACGCAACACCCTCTATCCGCTAAAATTGGCACTAACTTCGCCGACAAGCGGCGGTCGCTCGGTCGGTATAGTTCGCTTGCGGACTAAAACCAGAGAGTTTGTTTTGTTTCTGAACAACGCTTCAGCGTACAGGTTAGCATTAAAATTTCCTATTAGGAAGGACCAGGATCGAATATCGGCCAATAGGCCAGCTATTCTGATAGTTAACGTCTCGAGGTTTCACTCAGACTTCCCCAGAATATGCTGGGCCTGCATTACAAAACGCCACAGCCGCTTCTTCGTACATCCTTCCATCTGATACTTCGTCATCATACCATCACTCGACGTGACCTATTACATATAAGGCAAGCTAAAGGCAAAAAGGTAAAGCTATCCGTGTAACAGGACGTGGAAGCCCATTAGGTTGCGAGACGTCGAGGCTCCCACATTTTCTAGACAATCCGTTCACATATGGCGGTAAGGTTGTCCGGCCGTCCTTTACAACCAGGAAGAGTCCTGGTACTAATTTCTGTTAGAGGCTCAGTCGACCTCAAGAGTCGTAATGCGGCTGGGAGGAGTTTGCGAATAGAAAAATTCAATGACCTCATAAGGAATTGAACCCGCGATCTTCCGGCTTGTAGAATATTGCCTCAAGCAACTACACTATCGCGTACCCCACATATAATGTAAAGAATGTAAAGTGTCATAAAGACGTGTTGAGTAATGTCGGTATAGAGCCACCATTCTTGACCTCAGCACTGGACGGAAGTGATTGGTCAGCTTCACGCCCTTACCGCTTTATTCCAGGGTAAAGAGCTTCCGGCACCCATAAAATATGACATCCGATGGGCCCCAGAGCCGATCTGAAGTTAAGAAATAGAGAAGAATCTCTTGTCCCTGTCGGGAATAGAATCCTGGCCATCCAGTCCGACTAAGCTATCAAGGCTCATAGGCCTAATGCACATGCAGTGATAACACGTCGTTAAGTAATCTAAGATACAAATATCAGGGGCAGGTTTTTGAGAAAATTTTATAATTATGTAAAATGGACAGGTGAGGCAAAAGGGCAAATTCTATTCAGGAAGTACTCGGTTCGACTCCAGACTATCCTGTCATTTTCTTCAGTCTCTACACGTGAACATCACGGCTGTTCCTCGAAACGTTCCACGCCAGCTTCCTTGCCAATCCTTTCCTCTTCATGTTATAATCATTCCCCCTTCTGATCCTGCGATGAACAGCATCTCCGGCTGCTACATCGTCATTAAATACATAACCACCAGTTTTGCATAATAGTATGAATAGCAAATGTGATTTCGGGTAGGTTTGTATCTTGTAACTTCCCAATCTTCCGAAACGTTCTGAAAACAGCATCTACATGCATCGTGAACACATGCTGTTTCGTACATGAAGACTCAGGAATGAACAGAAGTGGACAGGCTTACTTACATATCAGTCTCAGAGGCTGGAATGCAGCTAACGCAGACCGACACTGTAAACAGAAAAAAAAAACATAACTGAACTCCAAGCATCAATACGCATAAAGTTCGGGCGAGAAAAGCCGTAAGAAGTGTGCCTCCATGAGATTCCTGGGACAAAACAACTCAGCGAAAGAAACACGCACTTTAACAGCATCGAAACACACCACCAGCCCACTTCATGCAGATATAAGGATAAAATGTAAAGTAACAAAGAAAAGGTATCCCTGTAACAGGCCGTGGAGGCCCATAGGGTTGTGAAATGTTGAGGTTCCCACGTTTTCTAGACAATTGGCTCATAGATGGCGGTAAGGTTGTCAGCCTTCAGCGCCGACCGCCCTTTACCCTCACGAATTCACCTCATCGGGATTCGATCCCGCTGAAGTCGTAAATAAAATAAAATAAATAAAAACAATAAAAACTGACGTCTATATAAGCTCATGTAGGTTACATACAGGCCTATTTTCATTGTTACAAGAATTATATGTTGAACACTGTACATTTCATGAAATACAGGGCCTATGTGATGCAGCTGTGCCAACTTTAGCGGATAGAAGGTGTCGCGTGGTCAGCGCAACGAATTCCCACGGCCGTTAATCTCGATTTTCTAGGCCGGAGCCGCTATTTCCTTCAAATAGCTCCTCAATTATACTCATGAGGCTGAGTAGACCCCGTTTCAGACCCACTATTTCTCAGAAAATCTGACAGAGCCGGGAATCGAACCCTGACCTCTGGATCTGTAGCCAGGAACCTTTGACCACTAGACTACAGAAGTTGGCACTAACTTTGCCGACAAGCAGCGGTCGCTCAGTCGGTATAGTTCGCTTGCGGACTGAAATCACGGAGTTTGTTTTCTTTGTATGTGATACAGCTGTGCTGAATCAACTACTGTGAACCTGCAAGTTGGCTCATGCAGTAACTCTTTTGACTTGTATTAGGGAGGTGACATTTCTTCGTGGTTTTTCTCAGACCATCCAGACAAATGTAGAAAAAGCTTTGAAATAGGTCATCCCACCCACAAGAATTTCATGTTCACCGAACTAAATCAACGTCACATGACATTCGACATAGAACAACAGATGCTGTTAGTACAGCGAAGGTGAAAAGTAAAGTGTCCCTGTACTTAACTAATTAAGCACTATAGGGGAGTGGGTGTATAGATGAACATTTTCATGAACTCGACACTAGTTGGGGGTGAGTGGTCAGCTTCACGCCCCGGCCGCTTTATGACTGGGGAAACAGACCCCGGTACCCATTGGATAGGAGGCTGGGTGGTCCTCAGAGCCAGTCTGGACGACGTGGAGAAAAGGAAATTCTTAACCCTACCGCGACTCGAATTCCGACCCCTCGATCATCCAGCACGTAGCCAGTCGCTATACAGTCTACTGGTCAAGCAATTTATTATTCATCAATTTAATTAAATATTCATCATTTAAAAACAAGCCGGGATAGCGTAGTCGGTATAGCAACTGACTATGGGCTGGACGACCGAGAAGTCGGAGTTCAAATCCCGGTAGGGTCACGAATTTTTTCTTCTCCATGTCGCCCAGACCGGCTCTGGGGCCCACCCAGCCTCTTATCCAATGGGTACCGGGGTCTGTTTCCCCAGTCATAAAGCAGCCGGAGCGTGAAACTGACTGCTAGTGCCGAGGTCAAGAAGATGTGGCTCTATACGTCCACTGCCCAATTCGCCTTCATGGCGTAGTGCTTAATTAGTTAAGCATAAGGACAACTTTACCTTTTCTATCTTATTGGTCACTTAAAAAACATATCTGAAACAAAACTTGCAGATCTTTATAAAAACATACTCATAAATAAATACAGCATAAATCTCCACTTGTACGCATAAACTAAAAGAGGCACTATGTACACCATCGTTCTTTGACGGGCTATTTAACATTACCTCACTGGCCTTCGTGTTAATTTAGTTCACATACAAATACTCTGTTTCAGATAAAGATATCACACTTCAAAGAGACACGTCTATCCTCGAATTTCGCTGCACATTCATCCATGCCGACAAAATGTCTCTCTGAAAATGCTGCTGCGTGAGAGTATGATAACACGATGCGTGAACAGAGCGCGACACGCGCTGGATGCAGATAGTATTTCTTCCGAAAGTAGCTGGATTTGTCACAATTTGGGGGTGTGTGATTATAGGCGGAGTATGGATGGGCGAATGGATTTATTGACCACTTGTATACACCACTCGGAACTGAGTGAACAGATACTGACACACAGAATAATGTCCTCAATATACTACAATCTCCATAGCCGTTGCTTGGCAACGGCTTCTATTGAGGGAGATTCCTCAACTTCCCGCACTCCAGTCCTCTTGTCACGGCCGTCCGTACACAATTCTTACAATTGACAACTTAACTAGAATTTGCCAATATGCCAAACTGGTTCTTGGGATATATGATTCTTTGAGACAAACAATCAGCATGCAGCAGTCCGTAGCGGTCATGAATTAAATTTTCCATGATCCTACTGCCACACAGGGCCGCGAGATTGTTGAGTGAAATATATTGAGCAGAGCGGGCTCGAATCTGATCCTTCATGCCTGATTGGCATGCTTAGAGGCTGAGATGTTCCAGGACCGAGTGGGATAACTAGTCTGGGTTTGGGAGAGGTAAGATAGATGAGAGTGGATCTGTTCGTGTGTTAAGCACTACGCCATCAAACCGTAGGACTTGAACCTCGGCAGTAGGAGAATTTGACTGGTCATCTTCACGCTCCTGCAGTTTTACCTCAGGATAAAGTACCCTTGATATTCATTGTAGACTATAGGAGGCTGGGTGGGCTGGATAACTCATAGCGGTAGTGATGAAAATATTCTGACCCTGCCGAAAATCAAACCCCGGTACTTGAATTCATAGACACTTACTGAGATGTCCCGGCTCATGAGGTAGGATATGGTACAGTCACGTGTAAGAACACGTTAGAAGCTTCTGTGGACGGATTTTGTGGCTGACAGGCAGAGCAGCACTCAGAAGGGTTTGTTTAATAATAGTGTCTTGTGCTCGTATTTGGGGTCCATGACTTATAGACGGGTTTTGGATTGGATGACTGGATTTATTGACACCTTATACACTCAATCATAACTACAGGCAATTACATCGCTATCTCTATTTCCATACTTTACAGTTCACTGTTACACACAGTAGTGTCCTCGGTCTTCACTAGTCGTATCCTGCCAACGGATTCATAACAGTCTCACTATCACTTCAAATCACACACAAAGTCTTCTTTACACTGCCTAATTCTTTTCTTGCCATTATTCTGCCAACTGACAACTCCGGAGACTCCCTTAATTTTCTGCCGCAAGTGCCAGCTCAGGAATTAAACCCAATTCTTATTTTAGCTGCGTGAGATCATCGTTATATAGCCTCGGGGCGGCCCCCACAGAAAACACCGCTTCCTCTATTGTTGCGTGTTGATACACTGCTGCAGAGATGTGTTTACCGCACTGTCGCGTGGCAATGCAGGCGAGGACCACAGAAAACAACGCTCTTCTACTGTTGGGTGCGTTCGCTTCCGCGGGAATGTGTTTACTGAGCCGTTGCCTAGCAATGAACTATTCCAGCTTTGAGGCGTCATGTCACATTATAACACTTCGTCAGAACGTGGCCCTATGCTATGAAGGAAAAATACTGATTTGAAGAGCCCAAGAATAAAGTGTTTAAGGAACCAGTAGTTCCACGGACAAATAAAATGGGTGGGTAATTTAGGATATTACATAAGATGATTACAGTGGAATTTACTATTATTTTCTATACTCCGTTATATCTGTAATGTTGATTTTGTACAAATATTCTGAATAACAGATTTGTGTCTACAGTAAACGAAAATTAAAATCAGGCAGATCTACAAATTTCTAACGGTTGCATCTGTAAAATATGCACAAGCCCACATCTCTACCCGTTTTTCTTTTACGGCAACTCAAGTTATGGGTATAACACCATGCACAACAGCGGCTGAAATAAAATTCTCGGCTACTGATTTATACGGACAATCATGTGTTAGATGCATTGCACGGTAATAAATCTTAGGAGTAAGCTTACGTACATATGAATAGCTTGTCTGGCTGTCAAGAGCAATTCTTCTTGTCACAAGTCCTTTCCAGTTAAACTACGTACAATTTGTATTCGCTGTTCAGAAATGTTATCTGGAGCAGAGTGTGCATTAAAAGGTCTCTGGCAAATTCTAACTGAAGTAATGTTTGCCAGCATTTTGGTTTAAGAAGACACGTCAGAATGAATAATTCCAAACGCGTTTCTCCGAGGAGGGTTTCACTACTGAGGTTGTGGACTATTTAATAAAAGTTATATTGCAATGATATTGAACACTGTCCATTGTCTCGGGTATCATTTGCCCCATACGCGCTACATGCATCGCCCATTCAATCCTTCTTCAGTTCATAAATTTAGCAATAGTAAATACATATTATTCGTGACTTCTTAGTTATGTAACTTTCTCCAGTACTGTTCTATTCTGTGTCTTCTGAAAACATACACAGTTGCCCAAAAGTCAATAAACTGACAACATTCCCTCGTATTAGCGACAACGTTCAGATTTAAACCTGCCAGTCAATTTGCAGAACGGTATCAAAACACTCAGTTGTGCAATGAACATGAAGATCTCATTTCGAACAATTTTTGTAAATTTACTACGTAATAAAAATATTTCTAACATATTTTAGTGTACATTTTACTAAGCAGTTAACCGACTTTTGGGCCTACCTGTGTATCGTCCTCAAAAACGTGGCTGTCCTCAAACATTTATTTATTATTATTATTATTACTGAATTATATAATTGACTTCTTGTATTTTTGTATGCATTTTGTTGTTTTATTTTCTCTTTACTCGTGCTCACTTTGTAATTGGTTTCTGGGCTGTTGAGACTGCGCGTAAATAAATAAGAATTGAAGTGAACTGAACAGAATTATTGTTGTTATAATCATCACCATCTCATTTTCCCAATGACTTCATATGACTATGAGACTATGCGTAA